GATGTTCAAAATTGATCAACAAAAGTGACTTAAATCCTTCTTTTCTTCTAGACTTGCCTCATTATTTAACTTATGAGTGGACATTTTTTTAAACAAGACAAAACAGCAAAAGCTCTAGGAATTTAATATTCTTTCACGATTACATGCTGATTGTGTTTTAAATCACTTAAATTGATCTCTCGATTAATTTGACTCAATCAGACAAACATATCGCTATGATTTATGCTTTTGTGTGGGACCGAGAGTCGTACACGTGTCTCTATTTATATTGTTTCCAACATTTCTTCAACAAATTAGACAAAAATCTCTTCTGATTTTTGTGGGATGATTTTTGCATTTGTCTGTTAAAAAGATATGACAGTTGCTTATTACGTTCGATGGTATTTGTGATGGCGAAACTTTTGACATTGAATCTTTTTTATCGGTTCTTTCACCTATCTTTGCTTCTAATATTTTTATTTATGAACTTCAGTTGTGACATTTGGAATTTTTGGGGTAGGCGTGTGAAGCTACATATCCATTTAAGTGCTTATGGGTAGAATTCATTTATGAAATTAGAAGTAAATTAAATTTGCGTAAACATTTTCTTAACTATCTAGTTACTAGCTTCTAGAAGCGACTTTCCGAATAAATTAGTGAGAAAAATTTCAAAAACAAGGTCAGAGGAAAAAGCAATTTTCTAATGGGACACATGCTTTTCCCGCAAAATTTTCCACTATTCATCGTTTCTCATTATAAACTTAGATAATCATCTGATTGCATTGTTGAGATAAATTCAGGGAATGTTACCTCGTTTTATTAATAAAATTTTGAAATAGTTAACAATGTAAAATAGAAGCTGGGGAATTTTTATGGCAGGGATATTAATGCTTCTTTAGTTTTGTTTGACTTAAATTAGAATTCTTTAGTTTTTCACTATTGGGTATTAGAGCCTAGATATAATAAATCTTTAGTTTTGATGTGATCTCTAGATGAAGGGAAGCTAAATTGAAATAGAAAATTTGCAAGGATTTCCTCAATTTATGTTATGCCTAATACTGTTAGATCATCAGATAGAATAGACATTTTGATGATACTCTAAAGATTAGCAATGATGCAAAGAGAAATACGAAATGTTGACAAGATTTTGTGAAATTCAGATTCAATTTTGATTAAAAGAGCAATAATGAGAATCAAATCTAAAGAAGGAAACCTTCATCCCTGGCAGTAAATCTGTAAAAACAAAATTAATGCCTAATGAACACTAATCTAGTTCAAATTAAATTGAGCATCCAAATTATAAATTGCAGCATGTCTACTCTTATAGAACAGTGGTTCTCAAACTTTTAAGCTATACAATCTTTGTTTATCTTACCAAAACATAGTGGATGCTACTATTCTTTATGTCTTATTCAACTGATTAGATTTCATATTTTTGATTACTTTAAAAATTATTCAAATAAATTCCTAAGATTCTAGCAAAACAATAGTGCTCCAAGGAACATAGATTGAGATCTACTGGACTCTAAAAAAGAGATCTTTAAATTACATCTCGCTATGATTAATTTGTATGGAAGTTTGACAAAAAACTGAAAGAAAAATTGATGAAAATAAACTATTCCAATATAAATTTAAATAAATTGCGATTTTCCCTTTTTGTTCGCCAAATAAACTTTTATTTTAAAGAAAATCTCATAATTTTTTTCTCTTCCTATATAGCTGTATAGATCGGTTGCTATGGTTCTTGACTGAAGGCTAGAAATTTTTTTCTTTTTACATCGTCATCGTCATCTTTCAAGTAGCACAAAAATTTTTTTAACCTTATTTCTAAAATTGGTGAAGTAGTTGTCAGCATATTGTCTCTTCATTCGTAGCTTAATCTCTAGTTTAGGCTTTTTATAATGTGATTTTTTTACACAATTGATGTTTGAGATTAGTTGCTAATCTAAGGCTGGTTGTAAAGGCTTCTTGAGGCACTTATCCTTGAACACCTCCTGTAACCATGCTCCTATGTGAAGCTTAGGTTAGAACAAAAGGCTTTCCATCTAAGTTTGTTACTGGATCGTTCACCTAGACTAGGTTAGGTAGGATTTTGAACCTATTTTGACGAAATATCTTAAAACCAGGTCGGCACACAACATAAGGGTTCGTTCACTTATTACGTAACGCACTAGGGGGGGAGGGGGGGTCTAAGATTTTGTTACGTAACTTTTCAAAAAATATATTTTTTTATAATTTTTTCTATATTAATTTTAAATTTTAAAGGAAGTATAATAAACATTTGATAAAACATTTAAATGAAAAAAATTATTGTTACGTTATGGGGGGGGGGGGGGGTCTAAGATTTTGTTACGCTTTGTTACAGGGGGGGAGGAGGGTCTAAAAACTCGTTTTTTTGCGTTACGTAATAAGTGAACGAGCCCTAAAGACTAGGAGGAGATAGAAAGGTTCCCCTCCTTTAGCAAACTAAAGCACAAGATCATTTAAAGCTGCATAATTTGAATGAATTTAAATGTTTATCAGAAAATGCGTTTCCCGCGTTTTTATCGATCATGTATCTTTACCAGATTTTTTGTAGTGATGAGGAAAAAGCAAAGCAAAAAAAATTTACCATGCGATGTGATCATGATAATAAAAATGTTTACCTGAAGTAAAACAAAATTAAAATAAAAGAAGCGAAGATTTTTCCCTTTTCTTCATACTTGCGCTTATGCCAATTTTAAAAAGATTGGAAAAAGAGATAAAAGCCGTCATACACTAATTCATCAATATGTAGAGTATCTTTTGTGTGTTTGTTAGACAGTAGAAAATGAAGAATGCGAGAAACTTAATTTACTTTTGTTATACATTTTTTAAAGACAAAATCAACATTTACCGATTTATATATTTTTTTTACACAAAACATAAAAAACTCTTGACGACAACGACAAGCTACAAGTGACTTGTGGGAAATTTTTTTCTGATACTTTACAATCTTCTTCTTTTTATTCAATTTCAACGAGAAAGATATAAAAGTTGATATTTGAGAAAGAAAAGAGTCTTTTGTTTTATTTGCGAACCTTAAAATTTGCCATTTGCCGTAAAATAACTTTAAGTGACTATCAAAAAAATTTATAAATATATTTACAATTTTATGTGTAAAAGTCAAAACATAATTAATCCTGCAAGGCAAGACATATAAGACGAATTTGAATCCATTTAGCTTTTCTGTCTGTGCAAGGATTTTTATGTTCGCATTTTTCTGCAGTTTATATGCGAAATTCACAACATTTTAACTGACTGGATGTGAGAATTAATAACATAATCAATTCAAAAAAACTTTTACTAGACATCTGTCATTAACATTGTCTTTCAGTTAAGAGATAAAAATAAGTATTTTTAAAAATAAGTTTGAATTTCTAGCCAAAAGAATGACGATATTTTGTGAGATGAATGAAAGTCGATGAACGAAAGATGAAGTTATTGTAAACTTCGTGGCGTCTGTTCAGGTTTTTAGAAAGAAATGTATGAGGAAATTTTGAAATTACTTTAAATAATTTGACTTTTCAAGATTTATAAGTTTGAAATACTTTAAACTAAACTGTAGCAGGAAGGTGTCAGTTAATGCTGGTCTCAAAGATTAGAACTTGTAGTCTTCGGTTATTAGCTCAAAATATGAGATCAGACAAGACTTCAATTAATAATCTTTATAACTTTAGTAGCATCTTTAGCCGAGGTTGAAGCCAAAATTGGTCGACTTAAAGGAAACATCAGAATTAAAGGCCCGCAGATTATAATCTTTTAGAATCGCACAATGATTCAGATTCGGAAAAAATGTTCAAAAGTTCCTTGTGCACAATATTTTTCCGACACGTTAGAAAATTGAAATTTTGCTTCGTTCATTGTTCAAAAAATCTTTATATAAAGGATAAACATGATTTTTTACCAAAAGTTTGTAAATTTATCAAATATTGTGCATGATCAAATTTTGTATGAAAATTTTTGTAGACTTTGATCGCAAATATCTCGAAAACGGCATCAAACGGTATGTCCTCAGTAATATGGGAGATAGATTTAAGCTTAATTAATTGATTTATAAAGGTTTCAGAGAGGTCTTTAGAAGACTTTTTAACTTTTGAATAGTTTAAGTTTTGTAAAAATACTCAGATTTCAATTGCATTTTTAAGACTTAATCAGCAGTTTTCTTTTGATTTGGTAGTTTTAATATGCAGATCTAATCTTAATTTAGCTAACAACAGCTAGCAAGATATGGAAATAACAACTTAAAGTAGAGAAAATCAAAGTTTTTTTTTTCATATACAAAATGTAAACAAATTTTTGTTGAAAATAAATTAAAGATTTCTGGAGTTAGACATCAAATTGAAAGGAGATATTTTCACTGAATATGCCTTAAGTTAAGATCTTTAATCTGGCATTTAAAAGATGTAGTTTAATTAATATGTCATTTTTGAATTTTTGAATATTTTTTCCGAATCTGAATCAATGTGGAATCGAAGATTATAATTTTTGTTTGAAAGATTATAATCTTTGCATGGGATTATTTAGATTATAATCTGCAGGAGCCTTGATCAGAAGTCGATTAAACTCGATTTGGACTCTCCCGCTGTTCCTGATGATTTAAGGAAAGTTTAATTTGAACAGCAATGTACTGCTCGGACAAGATACATAATAAATCCTTCTAAGTCTTGCCTAATTCACCAAAAATAGAAATTTCCGAAAACTTGTGAAATAAATTGAAGTGAAAATTGAGCATGTAAAAAAAGTTGTGATTTTCCAAACCAGGAAGTAATTTACTTGTAAAAGCACATGGCAGAAATAACTTCCTGAATACATCCAGATCATTCATTAACTCTAGCTATTAAAATAATTGGTTTCCCCCAAAAAAGCGCCTCAAGATCACAACCACGGAATCACTTTATATCATCTTTTCTTCTATCCTTCAAGTGATTTTTCTATTTCATCGAATTTGTCAGAATAAACAATAAATGAAAGAGATATTGGAAGAAAATTATTTTTTTTGTGTCTCTTCCTATTTTTACTAATGAATTTTTATAGAAAAAAGAAAATAGCTATAACGAAAATATCTCCGCTATTTGCTTTTTTTTTTTTTTATTTTATGATTATTATTTTATTTTCATCTCTTTCTTCTTTACGTTACATCATAGAAGATATATTACCGCAGATCTCAGAATCATCTGAATCACTTACGAGCTTCGATTCTTCTATAAGCATTTTTTTGTATTGTCCTTGCCGCGATGTTTTCTCTGGTCCCGTTTTTGCGTACTTTTTTATAAACTCGACTGCTGTCGTTTGATCATAAGCGCTCATTTCTAGTGATGTCGCCCAAGCGACAAGTGCCAAAGGTCTATCTCTCGACAGTTTATACGGCGTAATTATGTGACGATAGAGGCAAGATTTAACGACATTTCTAAGTTTGTCGACTTCGCTACTAAGAGCACATGGATCATATAACATGACTATAGCACCGTGTTCTAAAGAATGTAGCCATCTTTGTGGTGGCGCAAATTTATATTCTCCGTATGTTGGCCAACTGTTCAAAAAAGAAAGAAACATTTAAAGTGTTATAAAGCTTCATCATATAAATGCATTATTATTTCGAGACGTACAGTGGTCGGTGGCTTCCTAGTGTCGGAATGCCTTGATCATAAGTTATTGTTTCGTTCATGCATTTGTGAACAGGCGTATAAAATTTTGGCACTTCATATATTGTTTCGATTGGCTCTAAATTAGTCTTCGGCTTATAAGATGATGTTTCGAGACACGTGTACATTTTTGTATGGTCTGTGTTCGATGGATCAAAGTCTCTGTGAAGATTTACCTTTAAGGAAAAAAAAAAACAAGGAGGTGAAGAAGCAAACATCCACAATGAGTATAAACTTAAAAATATTGTTTTCAAAACACAGAATATTACTTCTCCATCATCACAATCGCTATTTGGAATTCCCATAATTCTATCATGCTCATACGTGCTTTCTTTATAATCAGTTTTGACTGGATTTTCTGGGAACCTGCAATTTCAAATTGTAAATCATCAGCTTTTATGGATTTTAAAATATTTTTAAATCATTTCTCTACCAATTTCCTTTCCATTCTTTGCTATCGGAACTTGTAGGTGTTGATGACAGATATGACGCAATGTTTGCTGCTTTGTCTTGCGAATTTTCTGGATTCAAACGGAACCTGTGGAGTGTTTACATTAAACTTTCCAATAATATAGTACAGCACAAAAATGAGAGAACTGTTTACCAATTTTCTTTTACTTGTTTCTCATCAGACTTTTTGGAACTTGCATCTAAGTTTTGTGAGTTTTTATCACTCGATTCCTTTGGTTTGTAAGGAAACCTAGAGAGATTCTTGTTGTTATTAAAAACTGTCAAGAGCATTTGTAGATTCTTAATATCAGTTTTGTTAATTTTAATTTTCGAACAAGATTGGATCAAAGATATCAAACCCTAATCCATAAATATTGATATTCCTTATTCTCTTTATTGATTAGCGAGGGAGTTAAGATTAAAAATCAAATTGAGAAACAGATGTCTTGTCTGAACAAGTTAATATACTGTATACAAGCTCAGTTCAGACATATCAAATAACAAGCGCAACAAACAAAATGTTAAGTTATATCCAATAACAGTTCAATAAATATAAACAACATTCAGGATATTTAATTACCATTTTTGAGTCCAGCTTGTTGTTTTAGCTGTCGTTGTAGTTGAACTAGTTTTTGAATTTTCATCATTCGAGCTATTTGGATTTGATGGAAACCTAAAAAAGTATACGCAACAGAAGAAAAGAATTGTATTGCTTGACAACCTTGACACTATCATGTAATTTTATATCTCTTGATCGACATACCATTTTCCCGTCCACTTTTCTGATGATGTGGTACTTTTAACAGGCTCTTCTGGAATGTCATTTGGATTATGTGGGAACCATCTTCCAGTCCATATCTCTTCAGCTAAAAAGGTGATCAAAATTCGTGAGTCACTTGTTATCATTAATTGAAATGAAGACTCACCATGCATTGAATACATTAAAAATAATATAATAAACGACTTTGTATGCATTGCTATAAATAGATATTGCTTAAGTTTTCATATGAAGATCTAAACTATTTGTTCTTAATCTTTATCACAGTTAAAATTAGTAAAAAATTGACGTAAAAATGTTATTTTTGTATAATTGTTTATTTGATCGCTGTTTAGCTCATCACTATATTCACACCGTGATCTTTGAGTTTGGTTTATGATCTTCAAAATGATTTATTTGTTGATTTTGATATCAGCAAGTTTGATGTCTCTTTATCGTAATAGGTTAAGCTAAAGCATGCAATTATAAGTTGAAAATTTGTCAATTAAGGAGAACATCAAATGAATTGAAAGATCCAAAATAAATGTGTGAATATAAGTATGCAAACCTTACTCTCTTATCATCCTTCATTGCCTAAAGCTGAGCGGCAAAATAAAATAGAAGCGAGTATTTAAATTCAACGGATTTTTTTTCTTACAACCATCCACAACACTTCCAATGTTTCCCTGGAAGAACTTATTCTTATACCAAAACTTCTAACTTCATAAAGTGCTAAATTATTCATAGACTCTTGTTCTGTTTAATGATTTATTTATTTATTTTATGAAAATCAACTTATTCACTACAAACAATAAGGAATAACCATTAATACTGATATATTATTTTATGAATACTATTTTCTTTTGTAAGCCATAAGCATTTTAGGTATCTCTTGTCTCATTGAGCTTTGTTTGTTTTTTCGTATAATTAAAAACTTGCTATTATCGTTACTGGCAAAAATATGATTTATACTTAACTATGTGATAGTTCGTAGGTACTGTTGATCTTCGATTGAAGTAGTTCTCTTGATCCAGAATCTACTTAAATCGAGAAACATCAGAATTATTGCTTAAAACACACTCAATATTAGCGCTACTTCCTTTTTTTTGGCACAATTAACTTAATCGAGGGTGCATTCATAAAATTAATGTTAATAGAATTTAACCGTAGAACCGGTTTGAACTTTCATGTTTTCTTTCAATTTCCGTCTGCCTTCTTCTTTGTGCAATAAAAGTTTTTTGTTAAGTAAGACTAATTGATTCCCAATAGTATTTTCATCATGATTTATGTATTCTTAATTGATTGATTGATTGATTAAGCTATGCTCTTGTGTTTGTTGTTGTTCTTGTCGTATTAGAAAATTGATGATTGTGCAAATATTTTCCATTTTACTGTTAAAAAAATAGATAGATAGAGGAACTGCTTCCTTTATGACCATCCAAAATTGATAAATGTCATTTGATAAAATTTCTCATTAAAAGGTCGATAAAAATCATTCAAACGTTCTATAGCTTTCTCATCAATAACTGGATGTATTCTACCTTTTGTTTTGCCTAGACAATGTGGTGTTGAGCGACTCTCGGACTTCAAGAGACATGGAAATCCTTTTGTCGAATTAAAATAGAAATGCTTTTCTGTTATCACACGTTTAAGGTTTAAAAAGTCTTGAACTCTATAGATCTCAGCGGCTGGATCAGATATCAATCTTTCACCGCTTATGAAGAGGAACTGCTTGAGCGGGAAAAATTTGAGCCATCTTTCGAGATATTTTGCATAAACTCCTATTTTGATTGCTCCATACGATGTATCAACAAGCTGATAAGAGCCATTAACAAATGAAAGTTCCTCAAACTTTTTCATATCTTTTTTCTTACTAAATGCTTGTGTATAGTCACTTATAGCTCTTGTGACTGGATTCCTTACAACTAATAGAAGCTTGATATTTGGATTCATCTTATGTACTCGTGCAGGAACGCCTGTTGTTATAAAATATGATGGTGTCTTCTCCATTGTTAGTTGACCGAGCATTGTTGGTGGCATCTTCTTTCGATACCAATTCAGACCAAACGAGTAGTGTCGATCGAAGAAGTGAATCTCATTTCCAGCTGCTCGAACTTTAAGTTATGGATGTTGTAAATTAATATAAGTATTTAAAAATGGGATAGCTTACCATCAGGATGAAGTCGAATGAATTCCAATAAGGCTCTCGTTCCAGACTTTTTTACACCAATAATCAGCACATCTGGAAATCTTCTAACTGACAAATTTTGTGTATTTACTAAACGATACTTAAATGCACTTTCATTCTTGTTGTCATCATCAGTCAATGACACAATTCTAACGACACTTCCGAAAATTATTTGTGTATCAGAATTTTGAGAAGATGATGTGTTGTGTGGATTATGTGGTACATGCTGGGAATGAGAAATAAAATATTTCTTCTTAAAACTTTTAAAAAATATTGAATATTTTTGACTCACTTTTCGGAAAGCTTTATGAAAGCTACTAATGATGCAGGAATTAAAGACGTAGAAGAAGTATAAAAATGTAATAAATCCAATTGTCAGAAATAAAAGAGTTTTATTTGAGACTTTAATAATTTTAACATTCTGAATTAACATTGTTTTTTGTGCCTTTCAATCGCTTTTTCCTTATAAACTTTATATCGACATTGTTGCCAGCTGCTTTAATAAAACTTTTATGTCAACTCAAATGCTTATTAAAATCGTATTCAAATTTATTTCATAAAAAAAGATTTCCTTATTTTCAATAGCTTTAAAAAAATTCAATTTGGAAAAATGGGAAAAATTTTCCGCACTAACACATTGACATGTTATGTAAGGATATTTTTCCGTATTTTCCAACATGCACGTGATTTTTTTTTCATCAGCAAAGTGTAAACAAAACAACGTGATGTATGTTTGTATCGCTGGTTGTTGTTGTATTGTATTGAATGTTTTTCTTTTATGCAGCATGACAGTGTTGATATAATTGACGGTTCATTGTGTATGGAAATTTCCGGTTTTTAAGGAAAATTTCTTATGTTGTGACATTAATGAACCAAAATATTTTCAGAAAAATTCCCATGCAGAATACAATTGGAACATTGTTTTTTTTTTTCAATTAGAAGCGTACATACGCATTTTATTGGATTGTAATTAATTATAAAATAATACAAAAATCAAAAATTCATAAGAAATTCAAAGAATATAATTCAATAAGATGGGACTTTTGATAGATTATTCTAAAATTTCATTAGAAATTAAAGCATTCCTAATGTTGTTTATATCTCTGCTATTCGAAATGATATTATTTCGGTAAAAATTACGACTGATTACGTTTAGATATCTTTCATCTGCCTGTGCTATTGTTGACTGCCTACACTAGATTGATTTGTCAAATAGAAACAATCCACCATCCTTCAATCTTACGATCCTATTGCCTGTGCTTTCAAGCATCGATTGTAAGTTACTTATCCCATTTTGGTTGTATGTGGATATATAAATTTCGTCATCCAACATTTTCGTTGCTAATTTGTAATTAAGTGAAATCCCATCAACCAAGTCCAATACACCATTTGTGTCACATTCAACTAGGATCTCCATAATTCGCTCTGACGGGAAGAACTTATTATATTGTAACGATGAACTCATCTTGAATATGCTAGACGGGAGATCAATCGACGAGTCATCAAGAACTGCATATCGTACTTCTAATTCCTTCTTTGCTGGATTCACATTCGAGATTATCCCATCGATAGTAAATTCCTTGAAGTTCCAGAGAAATTGTGTAAATTCACTGCTATTTTTCCAGCCAAATATCCAACTACTACAGTTATTAGCATTCTCTACTAGGCGCTTATGAATGAAGAAAATGAAATTTAAATTTCCATGAGATCTCAGATAAGATACAATCTTTTGAATGCATAACACATGAGGTACATTTTCTATCACAAAAAACTTGGTCTTCATCATTGCTCTTTTTGTTGTCATTGTAATGAATCCTTGTTTTATCAATAACATTCTTTGTTTTAAAATTCCTTCCACTAGTTCAAAAGATCTATATGGTTTAAGCTTCTTAAGATTGTTATAAGCTTTATCTTTCACACATAGAATAAGAATTTTTCCTACAAACTCAAATAGCCAATATTTCTTAAATTTGCTTATTGTTCTTTTAACAATAATCAGAATAAAGTCAGGATCTTAAACATCCTAAACAATTCAAGAACATCTTGTTAAGAGAGTATAATTGAACAATTTGCATCGAATCCAGACAATTATTCCATAAATAATTTCTTGTAAACTTAATTAAACTGTTTTATGATTACAACAATCAATTAAAATTATTGAAAATCAATTTTTCAATATTAAATCAAATCTTAAAGAAAGGCAAGACAAAAATGACAAAGATTGACATTTTCTTCGTAATGATGGAAGATTTGAAACAAGCTTTAGCTGAGCATACAAAGTTGACAGCTCAACGAGATGAAATGATGCAGAAGAAAATTGATTCTTTGATGTTGCAAATCAAAGAGGAAATTAATAAAATGCAAGAACAAGAACTATTGAACAATGAACTGAAGGCAGAGATTAAATTACAAAAGATGCTTATTAATGAAAAGGAGAAGAAAATTCAAGAACAAGAAGTTCTGTTAAATCAAATCGAAATAGAACAAAGTGATTTGATATCCGAAATCGAATCACAGAAGATGCATATGAATGAAAAGGATAAAATGATTACTGATCAATCGGACATGATTCAAGAACAAGCTGAGATGATAAGCAATCAAGAAAAGTGTATTAAGAACCAAGAAATAAAATGCAATCGATTGAGAATGGAGAATGAAGGCATTAGATTGAAGAACAATATAGCTAAACGAGAAATCGATGAATTGACAGAGGAACTGAAAGCTTCGTTCAAAAGAATGAGAATGACGAGTATCCGAAGCATTGAATCTCAGCAAAAGTATCTTCAAATAAAGGAACTGTATCAAAAATCTCAACAGAATTGGGTTGATGCCATTGACGTTTATTTCAAGCAAATCGAGTCTATGAATGAATACATTGAGACACTACATGCTGGAAGTGAAGACGCGACAATGCTTCAATTAATAGAACAAGCAATTGAAGAAGGAACGGAACAAGCGCAATGTTTATCGCCAATTCCTGAGGAAGATGAAGATGCCTATGAAGAGTCTGATGATCAGGAAACTGCTGAAAGCAACGAAGCTATTGAAGACAATGAAAATATCTTTGATGTAAATGGGCAAGAAATTTTTATTAACGAAACGGAAGTAACAGAAAATGAAGATGTTGTTATACTTGAAACAGTTGAAATGACAGAAGACGATCATAACGAATATAACGACGGTGCTAGTACTTCTAATGATGTAATAAACTTCTCTAAAGATGCAGAAGCTGAGATTAGCTATTCACTTTGTAATTCTAATGTAGAATTGATTTGTAATGAGAAATTTGAGGGATTCAAAGACGAGGGAATCGAAATAAACACCGAATCAAACTTGTCGAATGCTGGTTCTAATGGTGAGTGACAATTCTTAATTAGTAACATGATCTGGTCATTAGAATTATAGAATTCTTATAAGTCTTTTATATAGCTGGTGATATAATTCACGGATCCAAACAAGATTCTGGATTGTACGTTGAAGAATGTGAAAAACAAATAGACAGCTATAGTGTAAAAGTTAAAGCTATTGAAACTGATAACGTTCAAGGCAAAGCTGACGAACTCCAGACTAATTTGAATGACAACAATCCAAAAGCTCCAAAGAAGAAATCAAAGAAACGTGGTGGACAAAAAGCTAATAACAAACGTTCGAAGCAAAAGTATGTTCCATTTATAGAAGTTGCAAATTACTAATGTACTGATGTTCTTCGTAATGCTTTAATAATGATATTGATTGCTATAAAATGATGCATAGCTTAGATAATTGTTGGACCTATTCAGTTCATTAAATGACTGATAAATTGACTGTTAATGCTTTTGATGAAATCCTTTGATAAATGATTTGAAAATTGTACAAAGGCTTGTGATAAATTTAATGAATTGACAATAAAAATGGAACATTAAACTTTAAAGATAAATGTTTGATTAATTTTAATTTGATTTCCATAATAATACATATTATTAATTAAATTTGATGACTGGAAAGACTATATATTTATGCAATTTATTGAACATCGCAGTAAGGAAAGAATTTTGCTTAAATTACAATTTTCAAAATTCATAGTAAAAATGGAAATTGAAGTTCAAAGAGAGGTTAATTCTCAAATTAAGCATGTTATGGAACTTGTTGAAAAAGACAGAGAGATACAAGCATTTAAGGATGAACTGGTTAAAAGGAGTATTCGATCTTGGAATTTACAACTGATTCAAAAAGATAAAGAATTGTTCAGGCAGCAAGAATATATATTGGAATTAGAATCAGAGATTGAAAAGCAGAATTCTCGTTCAAAAAAGCTGGAAAAAGAGATCCTTAAATTGAGACAGACGATAATTCAACAAAATGAGATCAATCTGAAAAAGACTGAGAAAATTAAGAGAATGAAGAAGTATGGAAAGTCAAAGAATCAAAAAGACATGGAATAGCTGACTGTTCATTCACAGAACACCCTAAATTGTCATAGTGAATTCTGTAAATTGTGAAAAGGAAAGTAAATTTAATTTGGAACCTTTAATTAATTTTTCAGTTTCTTTATTGATATTCATTTTGGGTCCGTTTAAAAATGATGTCAAATTTTTTACATTACAACACTCATAGAAAAAAAGTAACAAAATGTTTGTAACTTGTATGGAAAATGTTAACAAACAATTCGTTAAAATAGTGTTTACGAACTTATTTGTTAAATTTAACCAAATTATTTGTAAGGTTGAATTGTTAACTATAAAAATTGTTAATTTAACAAACTTTTTGTTAAAATTTTTTTTTACAGAAAAAAATAACAAATTTTCGGTTAATATTAACCAGAAAATTGTTAATTTGGTCACCCATCTTATTTTAAAATGTTTCCGTGGTTGCTTAACTTCTAAATTCCTGTTGATGATCCGCTAGTCCGCTGCTTGTAAACTTTTACTTATAAAATTTGATTCAGAACCAATATAAATAATTCTTTAAAAAATATATCCAAATTTTAAAATTAATTTATGAATAATAAAATAGAAATGTAGGACTTAAAAAAATGAACAAATTTAACTTTTAAATTACAATTTGGTTTGTAAATCATTATTTTCCAAAACAAATTACAAATAAAAACATTGTAACAAATGTTTTGTTAAAATTAACAAATTAATTTGTTAAACAAAATCAACAAAATTCAATTTAAAGCAGTTTTCTCATTAAAAATAACGCAATAAATTAATGGGAATCGTTTGAAATTAATCAAACAAGAGTTTTGAATACAAAAATTAAAATTTAATTAAATCAATTATTAACAAATAAATTTGTTGATTTAACAAACTCAATTGTAAAATTTTTAACAAATAGTTTGGTTGAAATTTTTTTTACCCATGTAAACTTAATCAATAATTTGTTAAACTAGTTTAACAAACATATAACAAATATTATGGTTACTTTTTTTCTATGAGTGAAGAGTATCCATCTGTGCTTTAAATCTTTAAAAGTTCGCAAATTACGCTATTTTTATTTCTTGATTAACATCATTTTAAGAACCAACCCTTTAGACTCACAAGTCAATTCCATCACTTTGCATCTTAATATTTTATAAATATCCTCTGTATCATAAATTAATTGCCTAATGAGAGAGATTGTGCTCATTTTTGTTATACTTTATATTAATTCAATGATATTTATTCTGTGTCTCTCAACAATTATGTGCTAGTCTCTAGGCGGCAGCAATTTGCAAATTTTTAAATAGTATATTGTTTTAATAAAATTTCTTATCACAATTATCAATCAATTGCTGTACATTTTTAAAAAGGATCAACAGTCTCCTTGTGCATGTAAATTTTCTATCGTATCATAATAAGTAAGATTTTTTGCATAATCAATAAGTGAAGCAATTTATATCCAGTCAGAATTCGACATGATTTATGAGGATGTTTTTCTACGTCCTTGAAAAGTTACTTCCTTGCACCAATTATTCATTTTGTCTACATTGTTGCCTATCTATAGAAATTATGTAAATTAGAGTATGTTGAACTTTTTATTGGAAGGTACATGCTTTTATGGATTATGTCTAGAGATCGTTCACAAATAATGGACGTAAAAAACTGGAATTTTTAGATCTAGTCCTGATATTTGACACAGATTATTCATGCAAAAACTTTATTTTATGTCATAAAGTGCCTCCTCTGAAGTTAAGAATCAAATACTTATTCTCAACTTGAGAACCTAAATGATCAAGTCATTAATGTCCAAAATGTTCAACATACACTGACATCCATAATTTATTAACACGTTATCTCCTAAACTTGAAAAACCAACTGGATCTAGCGACAATAGAATTTGATAACTAATCAACAATAAATTTCGAAATGAACAACAATCAAGCTTATTGCTATCTATCATTTCCATTACGTTTAACTTTTCATAATCAATTATCTTCATTTAAAATATTTCACTTTATTTTCTTAAGATCAACAAAAAAATTAATTAATAAGTTAAAAAGTACACTTTTTTTCATGAATAACAAGGCAGTCTGCCTGTAAAATATGATCTATGATATATCTCAAACATTGAGAGATGCTAGCAAAAATTTAACATAACGAAGAAAAAGGCAATGAAAAAATGCAGAACGTAATTTTAAATGTCAACAACGAAAAAATGGGGGATTTAAGGACTTATCTAAATTTGCTTTGCGAATCATAATTTCTTCGCTTTCATAGCTTCAGCAGTTAATGTTGATTGAAAACGTGGAAGACTCAGACCAAATTTAGTTTCGATTCCGTGTAAAATTGGTAAACAGGCACGATAACCTCCTACATGATCAACATTATCGTTTTTACTTGAGATGATTGCTGGACCTCCTATTTTTTGTAATTCAGACCCTGATGGACGTGTTCCACCGAAATCGACATAGAAGAGACGTTGCAGTAGCTCGTATGTGACCAAAGTGACACCAAATTGAGGTGATGAACGGAAAACACGAGCTAGAAGGGATGAAATTGGAAATTAGTAGCTTGAATTGCGGAAATGATTAAAGAATTACCTATAGTTCCTTTCCAGAATGCTTTTGGTCCCTCTTCACGCATTATTTTTCTAGTAGCATCTATCACACCCGAATAAGTCGTTTGTCCTTTAAAGAAGCAACAGAAAATCAAGCATTTATAAATATTAATTATTTTAATTTATTACCTGAGCGAGCTACAACCTGTAATCGAGTTTTAATTACATCAGCAGGAGTTACGAGAGACGCAGCCGGAATTCCAGCTATAGCACCAGCAGCTAATAAAGTCAATGGATGATTGTACCTGAAAATAAACATTATTAATCATATGAAGTCAGGAAAATAGATTTTGTAAAGAAGCATACCCATCTTCATCAGCAAATGCAGCTTTTGTGTGTGCATAGGCAGGGAAATAAATAGCCGAGAATGGAATATCACGAAGAAAGCAAGCACGAGCACCTATAAAGATTATTGAAACATTAGAAATAACATTTTTAAGGCAAATTACACTACCTACCTTTGTATAATCCAAAGAATCCCAATTCTTTCACCACATGCCATGCACGAACTTTAGCACCGCCTACAACTTCACCAGCAACTTGTAATCGAATTTTCACGATTTCCAATGGATTTGTAAAGATGACTTGCGAACCGCCAGCCTAAAAAGATCAATAATGTACTTAAATCACCAACAGATTGACATATTTAAGCTTACACATCCACCAGCTAAGACTTCAGCCCATCCAGGAATATTTCCTTGCTTATCAAAGAACTTATCTCGAACCAAGTCATTGACAGTAAGTTTGATGGCTTTTTCTGGTGCAACACCAAGTAATTGTGGAACTAAACCTCTATAAAGACCCACTAAACCTTCATGTCGAATAACTTTCTTGAAACAATCTATAGAGTTTCTGTATGCAAGTTCACCAATAATTGGACCACTTCTTTGATTTTGCATTCTCGTCTTCACCAAATCAATTGGATATACTGCAGTCGCTCCAACAGCTGGAATGGGAGTAAAATGTTAGTATGAACATAAAAGGTACGTAGAAATTGACAATAGTCACAAACTCATCATAATTAACATGAAAATGAGCAAGGGGCCGTTCACTTATTACGTTCACATTTTAGGGGGGAGGGGGGTTTAAAAAATTGTAACAAAATGTAACATAGGGGGGGGGGGGGATGTCAAGAAGTATGTAACGTTCTAACTGTCGTCTGTCTTTTAAAAAAAATTATCAAAATAAAATAAATTATGAACGTTCAGGGGGGGGGTGGGGTGGGGTTGTGAGTTGTAACATATTGTAACAAGGGGGAGGGGGGGGGGGGGGTGAAAAAAGGAGTTTTTTGCGTAACGTAATAAGTGAACGGCCCCCAACACATGTCATGCATTTGGACTTACCACCAGCGATTGAACCAAGCACAAATCTGTAAGCACTTTCTAGAACTGCTGTAACTGCTGAACGATCGGCTGGTGTTTCAACTGCCTTGATATCTGTTAATCTTGCGGTGATTTTCTTAATGTAATTTTCTGGTGCTATGTTTGATAGATCAGTGTATACTATGCGGCTGAAAGAGATTTAATAAAGATTAATTGATATCATGGAAACATCTAATAAAAGCGGAAAGTATCAGCAATTCAAGGATGCAAAAAACATCAAAAAATCAATATGCTATGAATTTCAGAGAGGTAAGGAACCAAAATACCGTTAATTGATTCAAAAATTATTCCAATCATAAGAAAAAAAAAATTCACGGGAATCAAAAACTTGCCTCTGCCTTTCAATGACATTACGCTTCCACCAACTTTTTATAAATTTTGATGTGCGATTTTTTTAAAAATATGAAATTTTGTTAATGATCGAATTCCATAAATTTGTAGGCAGTGAAATGAGACACAGAATAATTTTTAGAATTTTTCTTCATTTCTATTTACAATAAATTAAATTAAGTAGATCAGAAACTTACCCATTTTGATGTAAAGCATCAGTGAGTTGATAAAGGATGTCAATTTCAAGCGGTGTAATTTGCGACATTGTTTGTGCTGAATGAAGGAGCTCTTCTTTTGTGACCGGTTCTAATCGATTGCCGCCAGCAGCATTAAGGTATACTCTCTTAATCAGTTCCATGTTGTTTAATAATGAACAAAATGCCATAAAGTATGGAAAACTAACTTTATGTCCTTCAGCAACTTGCACCAAATTATCTCTAACAGCATTTGTCAACAGATGATTCTTAACATTAAGCATAATATCTTGAAAATCAAGTGCTGTGATGTAGCCAGTACGACTTGGATCTTTTAATTTAAAAGCTTCTAAAGCACATTCTTCATGAAAATCGTGTAGGAACTGTGAAAATTCTGTATAAGGTATGGCACGATTTCTTTCACGTCCGAAATAAAGTTCAACGAATGGCCCATCAAGTTTAAATGGAACTTTCATGTAGAGCTCTGTCTTTTGAATGACGTTAGCAAATTCAGCTGTAGGATTTATGAGTATTAAACATTAATTGAAAAAAAGGAACACTTTTACTTACTGTACGTGACGCATCCATTGCCATTCTTATCGAACATCTGAAATGCAGTTTTATAAAGTGCATCAGGTTGACATAAAAGTCCTTCAAATGCTTGAAATTCCGAAAATGATATGGATCCATCTTTATTCGTGTCAGCGACCCCGCCAAGTAAGTAAACCGATTCCTAAAAATAAATTTTATTATTAATCATAAAAATAACTTATGAATGGAACACACGTGATTATGAAGAGAAAAAAGAAAAACGTTGATGCGTCGGAATGGATTATTCCATATGCTGATATGAATGTTTTAATCCCCGCAGACAATAATTGATAAGCTTATCAATGTTATTTTTACTGTATTCATACGTCATCGGAGTCTCATGTTTTGCATTACGGAAAAAATAACTTTTTGTTTGTTGCCGTAGATCTAGGACAAAAACAAAGTGCATAGCACGAAGGCCAAATTGGATTTTTTCGTCATTACTTGAATGTTTTTTGCTTTTAACAGAATCATTGGATTTGAGGTATATTTTGGCTGACTAGCATTTGGATTTTTAAACTGTCGTGTTGGGAAATTTCATATGAAAACGGTACAAATGTTTGAATTTGGAATTTGTAGGGTTCTGAAACATTCATTTATATGGTTTTTGAATTTAATTTCTCACAAATCGTTATTCTTTACTAGTTTTCAAGCGTTTTCTTTCCGTTATTTGTAAAAACTTCTGAAACATAACTTTTTAATTTGTTTAAAAATATTTTGACTCATCAGCTGATTAAGAAAAGTTCACTACACATTCACGTGATTCACTGGCGCGGTTTTTAGCAATATCCACCAAGGTCATTTGAGTTTTCTTTCTTTTTTCGTCGATTAACGTCTGACTGAATGGAAAATTTTCATTTTTACCTCATTGAAATTGTTGTCTGGAAAGAGCCCAAGGAATCCTCTGACGAAATCCTCACTTGTCATATATTTCTCGCCTTTAATGTCTTTCGTTGCATATTTGTTGAAAATTTCACGCAATTTTGCTGTTGATGCTCGCTTTAAGCCGGATGGTCCCTGGTAACAGAATTAATAGAAATATGTTAATCGTGACTTTACATTGTATAAATTAACGATATAATGATAATCGAACATCCATAACGTCACATCTAATTAAGTTTTTTCCTCTTGTATTATCAGTAAAGTGCAGTAAACAAATATTTTATTTATTTTCCGCTTCTTCGCTGCACAACAGGCGATTGTTTTCATTAAAACTATACAGACACAAAATGCACTGCATGTGACTTGATGCAAAAAAAATAAATATTGTGAATTTGCAGCACGGAAGAATTAAAATGCAGCAACTTCTGTGATATGGAAATGACTAAGCAATCAGATGGAAATTTAATCTTCAAGATACAATGTCAAGCTATGACTATGAGAAATATTTATTGTGGATATTGAGCAACACTTGGCAGCATATACGCAAATGTCTTTTTTTAATCACACAAAAATAATTTTACTCGGATTTGTCTAGTTATAGGCGGTTAAACATTTAGAGGTCAGTTACGGAAGTGATGACAATTTTGTAGAATCTCACAGAATTATTTCAAGTTCATTATCACTCATTTATACCATGTCCATATTGTTGAAGGATTTATGGACAATAATCTTCTTGTTTCTATGAAAATTACATAATGCTGATTTATTGCGAAAAAAAATTATTGGAATTAGATAACAGACCCGCTTTTGAAGCTCTAAACCTTCATTTTCGTCATTCTTAATATCTCCTCCTACAATTGCAGCTTTTCCCTTGTCATTAAATCCCATTTTTTACGGCTATTAAATGCACTTGTTTTAATTTATTGAACTTAAATAAAGAGAACTGAACACAAAAAAGAATTAGTATCTTCTCTGAATTAACAATCACGGTGTGCGCGCTATTACGACCTGTTCACATCTTTAATATGTCGAGCTGCTCGAATAAGTGAATGAAACTTCGGAAATGAGTGGAAAATAACAATTTTTCAGAACGATCTCATGAAAAATGTGAGAGAAAAATTGTAGGAAAATGTTTTTACTCAGTTTTGAGACGGATTTTGTGTGTTAGCATAGGATTATTGCCGGAGAAGATGTTCAAACAAGCTGTTTGGGTTTTTGATGGGCGTTATAGATAAACACAAAATTATAGCATGAATTCGCTTGTGATAATTTCTTAGGAATCAAAAACACGTACGTTAAATTCATAACGTAGCACAAAACGTACGTAAAATTGCTTACGTAATTAAAATACGTACGTAAATAATTAATATAAAAATACGTACGTAATATAGCAAAAAATAACAAAAAACGTACGTAAGATCACTTACGTAACAAATAACGTACGTAAATTGAGTAAGTTCAAGTACGTAGCACATAAACATCACAAAGTAGCATCAAATTTTCTTAAATTGAATCGCAGTGCTTCCAGCTGAAAGGCTGGGCCCTTCACACATTATTATTATTAACATCAAGTCACCTACACAATTCCATTTTGCTTCCTATTCCTTCATAAATCACCACGCTCATACTTGTTTCTCATAAACACGATCACTCTATGAATTTTTCTTACTGTCTGTCTCTGAGCGAGCTATGTTCCGTTATGTCTGAGAGCAATTTACAATTAAATAATAGATACAGCACATCCACGTGAGTTGCAATAACTCTAAATTAAATATTGATAATTGCTGTATAAACGTGCAAACTTTGTAGCTGCAGATCTCAAATTTCTTGTATAAATACTCGAATAAAATTGCAAATTAGTCAGTCAATAAAGAGCATAGATAATGTCTGGCATCACTCCAAATGTTTAATCTGGTGTTTACAAATATAATTTTTCGGCAGAGTGATAATGAACGATGATAATAATAAGAGATTCCGACAAGTGCTTTTTCACTTCATTCATGAAATACGATCATTCATACATTGTTCACGCGTTCTTATCTGCATTCTTTAGTGCCTTTTTCTTTCCGCAAATCTGGTCTATGCCGGTTAATCTATAATTTTGCCAAAGATAGCACTCAATACGCTGTGCATTATAGTACAGAAGTACAGAAAAGAATGCTGATGTGGAGAAACGAAAATTGTTCATGTCTACTGGATTTTCCTTCTTTTTCCACACTTTTAATGACTTTGAAATGCACTTAAGAATTAATCGATTAATCACAACATTGTAAGCTTATTATATAAATCCTCATGATTTTCGGCAATAAACACAAAACATACAGCACATAAAGTATGATGTAATTTCTCGGTCCATTTCTTACCTCTTGACACTGTGCTTTTGATAATAAAAAATCAAGAAAATTTTTCTCCATGTCCTTTTTCATGTTTCACTGTCTTGTCACGATTTTCAGCTATATTTGAGTACGACGATGATAATTCTATTAATTAAACTACTTTTTCACTATCTGTTCTGTTAATAATTTAATAAAATCTATCTCTGTAATGTGTAAAAACTGAGAATTGCAAAACTTACAGGAAAACCTCGCTAGTTCTTGGAACAACTTTAAGGCATAGAAACTTGACTGGAGCTTTTTGAATTTTTAGGAACGGTTATTTATTTTAGCATTTAATGAATTTTTAACGTTGTCTCAGATCAACAATAGTCACTTTTTTACTTTTATCAAGTTCACAATGCACAGCTTCCATAAATTGATCTGTTGGATGCGGATGAAATCCAGTTTGATTACATTTTGCGATAAATTCAAGTCCTGTGGATGTCAGCGAATAGAATCCAATCTCATTGTATTTCGGTGCACACACGATAGCTATTGATTCCGGAAGCATGATCTGATATCCACACTGAGTATGTAGATCTACAGATGAGAGGAATGCTGTCTGACTTGGATGTGTGTGAATCCTGTAAGAATATAATATGAATGATATTAGACATAAAAAAAGAAAGAGCTACATACCATCCTAAAGTGATTAAATGCAACTGATCTTGTATGTCAAAGATTTCTTCCTCATTCATTGTATTACAGCTGTCAGATGTGCCATTTTGTTTTGGTAAAATTATATGAGTCACAAAGAGTTGATGCTGCTCGAGTCTCCCACATAAGATTCCACAAGTCTCAACATTTCTTGCTGTATTTGGTCTAGCGACATCAAGGAACTGCTGCATTGTGTCATTTGGAACATACAATGTTCTTAAAGCACCTTCCATTAACGAAATAGACGGTTTTGTGCTGCGATCATAGCTCGGTGGTTTATTTCCTGGCAAAAGTCCTGGCTTTTGTGGCTCAGTTGGAAAGTCATTTGGATAGACTATTTCATCAAGATCTGCAAAATCTGGTGCTGTAGGTTGTGTGACGATAATATTTGATGGAGTGGATATTTTTGCAGTCTTATTCTTTGCATCTTCCAGTTCCTTTCGTTTAGCTTCCTCTATAGCTTTTCTTCTTTCAATCTCTTGATCTTTTAGGAATTGTTCATACTCTTTCTTATATCTATCCAATAATTTCATTTTAAGCTTCTCTGTTAAGGCCATTATTTCTGCCATCTTCTCCTTATTAACTTTCTTAGTCTCTGCTGGTACTTCCTTTAATTTTGGATGTGCACGAATTTTTTCAACAAACAATGTCAAAAATCGTAGAAATAATATATAAGCATTCTCAAAGTTTCCCTCATTCATATACACTTTTGCCATTCTGTATAGCTCATTTCCAGACCTGAAATATCTATATAAAAGAAATTAGAGTAATAAAAAATTCATGTAGATTAAATAATGATTCATTGACGGTACTTTATAAGGCATAAAATTTTCTTTACCTTAAAATATTCTGATTTGGATCGACACTTATGTTACTTCCCGATAATACAAGCTGCTTAAGACGTTTATCAGGCTCAACAATACCCATTTGATTAAAATTTATTAAATCCGACATTTTTGTTAAGAAATAAAATAAAATTAAATTATTTGTTGTTTTGACGAAAAGTTGACACTGAATTGTGTAGTGAAATAAGCACTCTATGCTGCATATCAGCATTCAACCATGTTACTATCCCTTTATTTTTAAGTTTAACGTAAAAACGTACGCATTGAATTTTTAAGATCCAGTAACTTTACAATGAATTTTATTTTTGGATAAAGTAATACAATTTTCAATAGAATAATACAACAAATCATCGCTTCCGTTTGATTGCTGAATATAAATAATGTATTGTCAGTCATCAGCTAATATAACTTTACTTATTAATTGAAATTTTAATATTAATACTTACGATTCTCGTTATTTGCTCCGAAAGAACCTGTGGCACTAAAATCATTGCTGCCAGCACTTACAATACCTTCAGCATGTTCAGATCCTTCAATTTTGCTCAAACCTGAGCTACCTAATCCCCCTCCATTTATACCACCAGAACTTTTCATTCCCCCTCCTAAGTTTCCAAACCCATTTGTTGAAGTTCCAGAGCTACTGAGACCGCTTCCTGATGCTGCAGAGTTACCCAACCCACTACCTGACATTCCAGAGCTCCCAAACCCATTTCCTGATGTTCCAGAGCTTCCAATACCACTCCCAGACCTAGAAGAACTTCCAAATCCCCCATTTGACCCTCCAGAACTACCAAACCCAGTTCCTGTGCTTCCAAAACCATTTCCTGATGTTCCAGAGCTTCCAATACCACTTCCAGACCTAGAAGAACTTCCAAACCCCCCATTTGACCCTCCAGAACTACCAAACCCACTTCCTGTGCTTCCAAATCCACTCCCAGACCTAGAAGAGCTCCCAAAACCCCCACTTGATCTACTCCCTGCTCCTGAATTTGATCCTGGTGAAACCGAACTGATAAACTGTTGCAGATTCATTCCACTGTTTGCTAATGTATTACTATCAATGACAATTACTTGTGGCTGATTAGGGGTTGTCCTTTGGTTAGCAGTATTGTAAGTCATTACAGGAAATGTCATTGTAGACATTTGATTCAATTTTGTACGTGCTGTAATTAATTAATTTTAAAGGAATTGATTTATTTAAAATTTAAAGCTGCTTACGGATAGTGTAACCCATATTGAAATGTCCATAAACGCTGCACAAAAATGCTGCAAAGATTAAAAGTACAAAAAGCTTCATTTTCAGCTGTTAACTTTCAAAATGATAAATGAAGTGCTTCATGAGACGTTTAAGGTGCGCATTTTATATAAAACTGTAAGAAAGCTGATGAGATTTTTATCATAAGATTATAACAATAAGCTTTTAGCAAAGCTTAAATTAATAACAATTACGATAATTTCATTATGACATTTTTCATTGTCTTTTGAAATGATGAGCTTTGAGTACATGCAGGAACAACTTTAGGAGATTATTTCCATTCAATTTCATGTTAAATGGTGATAATATTGTGTTTACTTTTCGGGGTCATTCATAAATGATGTTTAACTTTTGGTTTGTGGCTCAGAGACGCTCTACAATATAAATCTTTTGACAGAGAATCTCATTTTCTTGGATAAACGTCCTTTACGAACAACCCCATTAATACGTCACTGAAAAGGTAACAAACAGAAAGTTAAAAGCACACAGCACAGAAGCATATAACAAATGAATGTTTACTGTAATATGAAAAATTTCACTTACTTAACAATGAAGCTCAAGCTACAAAAAAGGTAAATCAAATGGAATGGGAAGACATTTCAACATATTTTGAGTCTAGAGGAAACAAATGGCATCATTACGTCGTTTCGCATCTGCCAAAGAGAAAAATGTGAATTGAAGTTTTTTTGTGAAAAAAAAGGAATGGAAAGAGCAAACAAATTTCCATAATTTTGCACAATTTTATTATCGTTGGCATATAAATTTTTAGGTCAGGACTAAAGTGACTTTGAATGAATATTTTAGAGGCAAAAGAGCATGATAATATAAATTTCACCACATAAATTTTGATTAGAATACGTAAATATTTGCACACATCGAGCTAACGTATGGAAAATGGTTTTTCAGCAGGGAATAAGCTATAAGGAAAAAGTTTTATCTCCCAAATTCACATTTTTTGTTTCTTTTTTTATTGATTTTTGTTATTCTATTTCAATATTCCATTTGAAAAGCTATTAAAGACTCTTTTTGGAAATAGAAATCTTCTAATGTTATGTGCTTTCAAATCGATTTCATGACGTGAAAAATCGTAGAAGAAAAAGGTTGTATTTTATTTAAAAGAGACTCATGAGATTTATTCAGCTTTTACTTTTGAATTTAGGATTCCTGAATTGACTTTAGAATTGTTTGTAAACATTTTGATTTTTATGAATTGAATAATGAATCAAGATGAAGGTTGATGTTTAGCGATTTTCAGGAAAAGATAACGCAAATTGAAATGATTTGGAATCGGAATTTTTTTTTCGATTTAATCCTTTGATTTCAATCATCGTAATGGTTTTACAATTACTCTTAAATCCTTTTACATCTTTATTAACTTTACATTGTAAATTTTAACAAATTTGAGTTTATAATAAAGATAATTGATGATAAAAAGCTTTAGATCTTTAGAAGTTAATTAAATTATAGATTTGAAAACTCAATAGCAGTCATTCACTATTGACGTCCATAAATTTTACAAAGCACAGTATTCCTCAAAATCTTCACAGTTTTGATCATTCATTTTTATATGTTCAACATCCGTAATTTTTGTTAACATGTCAATTCCATTCTTAACTCTAAATCCAGTAAGTTCAGCCCAAAGATTTTCATCATCGTCCATTTCAATATGATGGAGTGGATACTGGATGAGTTGTGATCCATTAACTGCAACTTTCAATTCATGTTCGGTGAATGCAAATGCAAGCTTGAACTTTTCTCCAATTACGAATGGAAAGTCCATTGTACGAATTTCGTTGTCACTCCATCTAATAATGAAATTGATTATGAGATACATGAAAATTCAGAATGGAGATAACTCACCCTTCCTCTGCATCCATAGTATTCATGACAACAGCAGTTTCATCAAATCGAACATTAAAATGAATTAATTGACGTTTTGTTTCATCTTGTGTGAACATAATGATGAATTCTCCATCCGATTTTCCATTAACAGTTCCAGTTATCAATGTCAAATGACCAGGGCCATATTGTTTTGGAATGAAACTTTCAAAAGCTAAATCTTCATAATCACTTTGGATATTCGGGTAGATGAATGGAAACATTTTCAAGTGATTGACTTTTACAAGTGCATCCATGTCGCCATAAATCATAATCGAACGAATTTGTTCCGGTGATGTTTGATATTTATATTGGCAGTATGAGGCGTCATTTACAGCAATATGAAATCGATCATCACCAACGAGAATGCAAAATGTGAATTGCTCACCGGGACGCAATGGCATAGAATTTTCATATGACAAGTTTGATAAATTTGAATTTTCACTGTCGCACTCCTCGTTCACAAAATTACCACCGACAAATGCTGACCTAATGATTTTTCGGTCAGCAAATTTAGTTTCGAGTGACAGCGCTACATTCGAGTTTTCAGCTTTTCCACATGCCAGTAGAATTTTCAAGCTATTAGCGAATCTTGCAGAATATCCAGATATGACAAAAATGTGCCCAACTCTAACTGAATCACTTAAAACTTCATGAAAATTATACATTTTGAAGGTTCTTTTGATGTGAATGCTACAGCAGTTGAAAACAAACTGAATAGAATAATGGATGTTTATGTGAGAAAAATAATTTAATATTTGACTAAAATTTATTAACACCTAGCATTGTATGAGAATGTAGAAACTTCGAAGTTTTGGATTAGACTGATCAGAGTGCATATTTTGAGGAAGTTTGAAGTCTTTAGGTTGTGTGTCTAGACATAAACCAACTGGTATACCAAAACATCTAAAGAACAATACAAAAAAAGTGACAAAGTGCAGTCGATTGCCAAAAGAAGTTTGCTCCAGCAATATTCAATTATTTATTCATGATGTTATCATTTTATTGCTAATAGGAGTATAATGCCGATTTCTGGAATCACTTATATGCATAGTAAGTCAAAAATGATATCTAATTATTTGTTGAGAATTTGGCACAGTAGTGTTAATCATATTCTGCATGATATACACATCTGTGTTTTGGAATGATCAAATGAACTCAAACTTCTGGTGATTTGTTGACAATTTTTATTAAAAGTGAAAAATCTGCATGATCATGCATGAAGTTTATTTAAAATTCTTAAAGTTACAAAGTTAAACTTCAAACACAATAATTGTTTCGGATGTATTGTAGCAAATCTCATCTTTATTTTACCATGCATGTCTGTGTAATATAATCTTGTTAAAAATATGCATTATAGTTTTGAAGCTGATTACAAATATGTTGAAATTCAATCTTCCTTTTTTGTAACCTTTTTTCAAAAATAATTTTATTTTTCATGCTTGGTTCAACGAACAGAGCTTCTCAAAACCTTCACATTGTGGTTTCATCTTAATGTGTTCTATAGAAGTTATAGTTGTGATTGTATCAGCTTCTCTATTTGTTATACGGAAGCCGTTAAGTATATTCCACAAAGATTGACCATCATTATACGAAATACGAGATAAGTCGAAATCCATAAGATGAACTCCATCAACAGCAACTTTGAAATCTTCTTCAGTGAATGCAAAAGCAATTTTGAATGGTGTGTCGGTTTCAAATGGAAACTCCTCAGGACGATCTTCATAGTCAGTCCACCTTAAGTTAAGAAAAATTTAATTGCATCATCAAATTAGTTGATATCAAACTTACCAGCCTGATTCTGCGTCAACTGTGTTCATGACAACTGATTCTTCACCAAAACGAACATTAAAATGAATCAATTCACGGGTTGAATTTTTTTCAGTGAAGTCAATATAAAAATCGTCGGTAGATTGTCCAGAAATAACAATTACATGACCAGCTTGGTACTTAATCGGCATAAAGCTTTCTAGTGCCAACTTATTTGCTACTTTTGAATATTCTCTATTCAAATGATTAATTTTCAAGAGTCGATCAACATCACCAAGTACTGTGACTGTACGGATTTTGTTAGTAAAGCATTTATGTTCACAAATATGGTTGCCATTAAGTTTGATGTCAAAGGAGTCCTTAGTCACAAGAATTAGAAATTTAAACTTTGATCCATTTTGAAGTGTAAAGTTATCAATTGATGCATCATTAATGATGATTTTATTGTTGCTATAATGTACATCAATTTTTAAAACTTGCTCTGAATATGAAGAACTGCCAGTTGAAAATATTATTGATATTAATTTAGCATCGGTCTTAGTGAATCCAGTTATTTCAAATTTCTGACCATTTCTGACAGAGTCACTCAAAACTTGAACAAAATTGAACATTTTACAAAACTTGTATGAGTTAATTTCATCATGTACTATCCTATTTATACTTATTCTTAAGGCATGAAGAAGAAAATAAAAGTACTAAAAATATTTAAGGTAACAAATACTAATGTTAAACATGTGTATATAATGCTAAAAATGCTTCAAACACATGTCTGATGAAAGAAGCTCGGTAATCAGCTTACGCTTTATGAAATGTAAATATTTTAATCTTAATCTTAATTAAAAACATTGGTGATAAGGAATTAAAGGTCTTTCTAGTCATAAATTTTTGATTTCTGGGCAACTTCCTTATAAACGAGTGGCATGCTGTCATCAAATGATGTGAAACCTTTACTATAGTTTCGTAATAATATCGTAAAATTTCGTCGAGCCATTTCCGAATTTCGTCAAGCGTTCCTCGACAAGCTATTGAAATATCTAGAAGGAAGATATACTTCATACTTCATCATTTTTGATAAATTTTGTTCAATTTTGATCATTTTTTGATCATTTTTGATCATTTCATCAGTACCACACCCTTGCATCAGATTCAAGTATTAGGATGTATTTCTGGATAAATTCAAGTTTGTAAGAACCCTAAAAGCAAAGTTTAACTGGCATACTGTATATAAAAACACATCTTCAGTTATGTATTATCAAATTATCTTCCTGGATCTTTAAATCGGTCAATTTTTAATATGGAATGTGACATGTCTAAGCATTAGAACTTTATAGTGGGATTCAGAATCTACATATCTAAAAATGTTTTGATGAGACTTGATCTGAAACATCAGAAATGAATTCTTTTTTGCATAAATTTTTTTTATTAGTATGGACAGGTTTTTAGGCTTTTCGGGTCTTAAAATCCTGTTTTTTGATGATCTACCTTATTATGTTGTCATTAAAAGCATTTGCATTAAGTTGCTTTAAAAATGTATTTTTATTTATTAAAATGTAATACATAAGTTGAGAAATAATTGGAAATTATTCAATAAATTGTGTCGATTATAAATTAATGTGTCATTAAAATATTAAAAATTGTAATAAAATTAGGATACATCCCAAAATTCACAAACAGAGTATTGCTTCAATTTGAAAAACTCAATCCAATGTACAATATTGTTCAAAAGCATCACATTCTGATTCCATTTGAATGTGTTCTACGTTAGTGATTGTTGTGACTGTATCTTCCTCTCTATTAACAATACGGAAACCGCTAAGAACATCCCAAATGCTCTGATCTTCGTTCAATAAAATACGTTCTAAGCTAAAGTCCATAAGTTTAGATCCATTGACAGCTATTTTGAGTTGTTCACTAGTAAATGCAAAGGCAATCTTGAAAGGCTTCTCAAGTTCGAATGGAAATGATTCTGAGCGATCTTCACTATCGGTCCAACTAAAAAAAAGAAAGCAGTTATTTTAATATTCAGTTCATGTGAATAAAATTCTTATTATTACCAATCGACGTCATCTTCCGTATTAATGACGACGGCTTCTTCTCCAAATCGGACATTAAAGTGAATCATTTGACGAATTGTATTATTTTCGAGGAATGATAAATAAAATTCTTCATTGCATTGTCCAGAAATTGAAATGACATGACCAGGTTGATACTTAATTGGAATAAAACTTTCAAATGCCAAAATTTCTTCACTTTCTGCAATCTTTGGATATTCTTCGCTTAAATGATTCACTTTGAAAAGACTAGCAACGTCACCACGAATAATGACAGCACGAATCTTGTCTGGTGATGTTTGCCATTTATATTCGCATAAATTACTTCCATTTAGATTGATATCAAAGTTGTCGTTGTCGACAAGAATTTGAAACTCAAATTTTGATCCACGTTCAAGTGAAACGTCATTTTCTAGTTCTTTATTGATGATGACTTTATTGCTGCCAAAATCGACATCAATGTTTAAAACTGTTTCTGCATCTGAAGCAGTACCATTTGAGAATGAAATTGAAAACTTTTCAGCTTCAGTCAGTGTGGATCCAGAAATTTCAAAGCTCTGTCCAGCTTTAACAAAGTCACTCAAAATTTCAACAAAATTGTACATTTTTTAAGATTTTAACTCGTCAACACCCAGCAATAAACTGAAATGAAGCTTCAAAACGAAAAGAAACAAAATTCTACATTAAACCGTTAGGTCTTTACTGCTGTATTGAAATATATCTATACACATTCCCAATTCTCATCATGTCGATAGATGCACACAATGATGGTTCCGTTTTCTGTGTATAAAGCTACTGCGAAGTTGATTGTGCCGGCTTTTAGAATGCAAAAACGACTGGCAATAAACTTTAGACAAATGTTAATTGACAATATTTTATTTGCGCATTTATTCTCATGCTTGAGTCATTTTGAGTATGAATTATGAATATTGCCAGTAGAAATGTCAATTTAATAATGTTAATTGAAGTTTACGTCATCACTTTGCATGTTGATTCTCTCTTATAAAGAACAATTTCTTTAATGCACTCTCCTCGTGGCCATAATATTTGCTGAATGCACTACCATGGTTAAGAAATTGGAGAAGAAGAGAGACGATTCTGTGCTTGTATTTTGTTTAACATTCTCATAGAAGCGAATTTCATTTTTAAGTCTATGTACTGTAAGAAAACAGCACATGTGGGTATGACTCATGTTGATGAAAAAGAACATTGGAATTCGATGCTTTTTGCAGACTGTTTCTTGTACTTTTTTTTAAATAAACTCATAGGTCGTTCATTTATTTTTGGATGCTTTCAGTGTGAATAAGGGGAACTGAATGTTATGCCGTTTACTTTGTAATGATTGAGAGATCAGTTTATCATTGTGAACGAGGGTAACTGATCTCTGATCAGCGTCTAATTACTTGAACACAGAACCAGATTAGCACCCTAGAACTTGCAGATTCGCTCAAAGATGACATGATATTCAACTCTGCTGAGACAAGACTTCAAATTCAGATCCTAAATGGTTAAGAGCTGCGCCAAGGCATTTCGCAGATAATGAGAGTTTAAAGAGTATGAAATCAAGACAACTGAATCTAAATCTGCATCTACAGTGCATAGTAGGATCCAAACAACTTATTTGGCGACATCCACATTGTTAATATCAGAGCTCGTGTCAACTCGAGTCGACTCAAACCCTATCGACTTAGAGCTCTGGTTAATATGATTCCAAAACACGTGAAAGTTGGCATACACCGAGTTTCAAACACATGATCTATGTGTTAATATTGTAATTATTAGGTACCGAAGTTTAAAACCATTTCGCGACCAAGTCACTTTAGATCAAAAGTCCATAAACTAGAACTAAATTAAAAAAGATAAAAAAAACATGTTCTACAGTCAATTACAATTTTCAGCACATCGTGAATAGAATTTTAACTTGCTTCTAAAATATTTTCATAACAAACCCATTCAGATATGGATACTGAACTCACAGTCTACATACCCAGATAAGTATGATGTAAGAAAACAAAAACACCAATCTGGAGAAATGTTTTATGTTTCTCAAATCTACATTACATTACATACATTTAAAACAAACAAAGAAGAAGCTCTGTAAGAGTTGAGAATCGTTAACGATGTAAGTAAGAAGTGAAGCAGGAATCTCGCCTCAAGTGTTTGTTATCATTCACAACACAATTCTCGTCGTATTGAATATTACGGAGAGCAAAAAGTATAATATAGAGGATTTACAGTTGAAAAAAAAAAGCACCGAGTTGGCTTTACAGATAACACGGAACAAAAAAATATGGAAGAAGAAAAACTTTTTATTTCCACCAAAAAGCAGAGCATCTTCAAAGATTTGCTGTTTTGCCTTTGCTTCCTTTCATATCTTTCCGCTTTCTTCTGTATGTCGAATGTTGAACAATAAAAAAAGAAGGAAAAGTTTTTTCCACATCAGTTCAGCTATGTGCTGGTTTTTATTATTTTGTTCGTTGGCATGAAAATCCCCTTCATTTCTACAATATGGATTCGAGTAAGAAATTAATACAAATTTATCTATAAACTTTAAAACTCACTCCACAATCACATTTTGTTGCTCAATCTCTAGACCTCCATTTTTGTTCTTAGCGCATTTTTGAAACTTGTTTCTAAAAGGTAGCTTAATAAAACACTTTGTTCGACTGTTCGGGGCAAGAAAAACTTTTTCACCAGACATCGTAGAGAGCTCGAGTTTGTTTTATTAGCTCAGTTCTATCGAGTTATTGGCCGGCCGAACAGTTAAAAGTCTTAAAACATTGTATTTATACTTTAATTAATGATATTTTTTATTTCATATGAAAAACACGTAATAGATACGTTTAGAAATTTCAATTATTGTCTACCGTTGTAAAAATTGTAATCAGGGTGCGTTCAGAAATTCGATTTTTTTTAACCGGTCTATTTGGCATTCATTGTAATTATTTGTTAAATACACTAAAATTAATAATCTTCTAATCTTCTCATGATCTGTAAGTGAACGAAAAATAATTAGATAATCAAATACTGATCGCTAACACAAAAATGCGCTTAAGTCCCTCGATCAATAACACGAGGACTTCTGTAATTTTTTATAAAGTCACACACAACTTTCAAAAAAATTCCTATTAAATTTATGATACCCAGTTGATGATTTTTATTTGTCTTGCAAGAAAATAATTCCTTTAAAGTGACCAAAGAAGGAATGAAGTTTGTCTTGTTTCAAGAGTTGTGGGTGGAAAATTTGTCCAATTTATTAAAGTTTCAAATGCTTTTTTTGATCTTAGATAAATTTTTTCCACAAAGTGGGTTGTGCTCAAGTTGTGCTCTTGTTTAAACCTGCGACTGAATTTATAAACTTTTTCTTACGGCTTCTTGAACAAATTTGAACAGAAGCACCATTGAAAATAAAGCTTACAGCATGGCAAAAATCCTTTTTTTAAAGGAAAGCTGATCATGGAATTGGATTGAGGAATAAGAACGATTACTGCAAAAATTACTAATATTGATTTTGGTCATTGATTTTTAATCCAATTTGACAAACTCATCCATGATGCTTAATCGTCATCTTCTCATCCACTTTAAGACAATGATACAATGAAATCATAAATACAAAAGATCTCAAGTCATCCGATTGATTTTAATTACTCAAAGGATAACAATAAAGCAGAAACTCAATGAACCCCTTTCTTCAACAATAAGTCGATGTCAATCCACAAACTTTTGCCATTGCCAAACAGAGCGAAACGCAAACAACAAAATCCTAGCAATAAAGTTTCATGCTTATTTCAAAGAACATCAATAGTGTGAAGCTTACGCATAATCTTCATAAAAAGCTCTCTGAATTGCTAATGCTTACTATCATAGTGAAGGATAAAGAAAACAATTTACAATGCCAGAAAGTAAAAAGTTTGAGAATTTTAAGTATCAAAGAAATAAAATAAGAAGATAAGAAGCACAGAGATGGAAGTGAACAGAAAAAAAATTTTTTTTGTAAATTTACCGCCTCAGATTTCTCAAACTACTCTTGGCATTTTATGTTCTCCATGAGGATTAAAATTTTTCTCGTATTTCCGTTGTTTTTCCTTCAGAATGATTTATGAAATCATCTTCAAATAATTTTTTTTGTTCTTCCTCTCTTATGTCTTCTCCATCCATTTTACGGTTTGGCTTAAGGTTCTGAATGAAAATAAAGATAAAAAAATATCTTCTTTATCTTTATTTGCTCTCGTTTTACTTCCATCAACATTCACATCATGATCTTTTATTAAAAGTATCATGAATTTGTGTTATTTTCCCACTGCGTAAGTGAGACATGACTTTTTGGGGTCGTTTATAAATGATGTAAATGTATTTGGGAGCTCAGAAATTGTCTATCTGAAGATGTATAAGTTAATCGCAGTCTGAAAGCATAATCTATCATTAACATCACTTATAAACAAACCAAAAGAAAATGAACCAAAATTTTACTTTTGCCAAATTGTTTATTATCATGCAAAAATATTCAAGTCAAGTATTTCAATTATTTAGGTGGGAATGTACGGTTCAAATGTGTTGTGATTCCATTCTGAAATCTTTTAACACTATCACCAGTTATTGGACCATCTTTAGGCAATTTGCCAATTAGATCAGCAACAGCACTTGTTATATCGTTTTGACTTGGATAACCTCCTGCATTTTTGATGCTTGTTGATGCCGCACTCACTTGATTATGGAGTTTTGGAACTAAATCATGCATTGTTAAGTTTTTGTTGTCGTTTATTATTTTAAGGACTTCATTTTCCAAGTCGGTAATTGTCTTTGCCGTAGATGAAGTTTGAGAATATACACAAAGTGCATAAATAACAGCACAAATTAGGAATCCGAAGATGACTCTTGTTCTGAACATTTTGATTGTTTCACAGTTGATAATAAACTTGACGAAATTTTAGGTTTATTGTTTGACTTTATATTATCTTGGAACCGGAAGTTCAGAGAATTTTGCATCTGTTTTTATACATAAATATGATAATTCAATTAGCTGAACTCTTTTTACAGAAATTAATTTATTGGTCAGCATTACCGTGCATTTTCTATTTATATTCAAAACCAATAAAACATTCATAAAACCAATAATTGGACAAAGTTGGTGAATCACACATTGTATTAAGCCAGAATTATGACTCAAAATTACAGGTAAATTATGCTCAACAAAAAAGTATCTTTTAATAGACCGAAAGACTGATAATGATAAAATAATAATCAAATTATAGATAAAAGCTATGCATAGAAAAACTGGGGTCATACATTTTTGATACTTCAAGAGCACAAATGTTTGGAACTCCATCTAAATTTAGAACGCTTTTCGATAATTTCAAATCAGTTCTGCACTCTTAATAAATTTATTACATATGAAAATTAAATATAAATTGCTTGGAATCGATTGTTCTCATGAGAAATTTACTACTGATAAATATAAGAACAAATTTGAAGGGTCGTACACTTATCTGGAATGCTATCGAAACAGGAGAAGCTGAGGCCTAAATTGGAGTTGACCCAGGGAAGAAGCTTAATAATTGAAATTCCGAAGCATAAGTTTGAAGATATAAAGCTAGAGTGTCAGCTGAGCTACGCTCAGCATAAGTTTGAAGTTATAAAGCTAGAGTGTCAGCTGAGCTACGCTCAGCATTAGTTTGAAGATATGAAGCTAGAGAGGCAGTGGAGCTTCGCTCAGCATAAGTTGAAGTTATAAAGCTATCGCGTAAGCTGAGCTACGCTCAGCATAAGTTTGAAGATATAAAGCTATCGAGTCAGCTGAGCTACGCTCAGCATAAGTTTGAAGATATAAAGCTATCGAGTCAGCTGAGCTACGCTCAGCATAAGTTTGAAGATATAAAGCTATCGAGTCAGCTGAGCTACGCTCAGCATAAGTTTGAAGATATAAAGCTATCGAGTCAGCTGAGCTACGCTCAGCATAAGTTTGAAGATATAAAGCTATCGAGTCAGCTGAGCTACGCTCAGCATAAGTTTGAAGGTATAAAGCTTGACGAATATGCCAAATATTCTTTAAAAGTTTTTTAAAAAAAATTTTCATCCAAAGTTGAATTTTATAAAAATCACAGTCAACTTTTGTTTTAAAAAATTCGTAAGAAAGGAAAGTTTTTTGCCATTTCTGAAGCAACGGCTGTTCCTACCTTACCCAAAAACAATACAGCTCTTCTATAGAGCAGCACGGATCAAATGTAAAAAACTAGAAGTCTCTACGATGTCTCGTTATTGAGATTTCTTGCTGATTAACTTGCTTGCTTGCTTGCTTGCTTGCTTGTTTGCTTACAGAAAGCGTATTTTGCGATTTTCTCAGCAATGCCACAACCAATTTGAAATCTGTTTTTTGAAAATGATGTAAAATTTCAGGCACAAACTTTTCTTCTTGCCCTTTTATAACCAATTTTGCTTTGTTTTCTCACAAAATGCGAAAAACTGATTTTTCAATCTGAACAAAACCAATAGATTCACACGTGAAAACGGTGTGAATATAAAAAACTTATTTTCCCTCGAAAAAAATCAACACTTGAATTGCTGAAACAAGATTAAAAAGTCACCTATTCAATTAAATAGGTTTAAAAATATCAAATATTTTATTCAATTCAAAATTTAATCAGAAAGTTTTCAATCTACAGCCAAACTTTTATGTCGACTTGGCTGGAAAAACTCGATTTAAATGAGAAGTGATTCCATTTTGAAATCTTTGAATGCCATCACCAGTAATTGGTCCATCTTGTGGCAGCTTAGTAAGCAGGTCAGAAATTGCACTTGATATTTCACTTTGACTTGGATATCCACCAGAATTCTTGATACTCGATGCAGCTGCTTGTGTCTGATCACGAAGTTTATTGACCAATTCACGCATTGTTAAGCTCTTGTTGTCATTAATGACTTTAAGAACCTCATTTGTTAAATCAGTAATTGTTTTTGCATTGGAAGTTGACTGTGAATAAACACAGACTGCAAAAATTGATGCACAAATTAAAAATCCTTTCGAAACTTTTGTATTCATCATTTTTATTGCTTCACATTTGAACTAGAACTTGATAAATATTCGATTTTAGTTTGCGATTATATACCAAATGAAACCGGATGTTGGTGAATTTTCATTTGTTTTTTTTTTTCAGAATTGAGAGAGATTAATTGGGAGTTAGCCTAATGACTCTATAATGCTAGAGATAGTTAAGTGACAATTTTTTATTGTCAACTGAATTGTTGCTATTTACTTTTCAATGAAATGCTATAAAGTCATTGGTAATAATTCCATAGGTAAGCTGAGTAATAATTCAGTGGTCGAATAATGTGAATAATTCGGGAAAGTCATGAATTCATGGATTGAAAATAAACAAATGTCAATGACAGTTTCAATAACTCGAAAATTTATGATTTTCATAAATCTTAAATTATTTCAATCCATCAGGTTGATTAGAACAATAACAAAGCATTCGCATCTACGAAAAAATTTCAATGTTCCAATTTGCAAGCACTTTAATAATTTGCCTTCTCATTGACATTACATTTTTTCCGTATCTTCAAACAGCAACTCATAAACCGCTTATAAAGTCAAATATATGTAGCATCAAAAAGCACAATCATTCAAAATTGGGTCTTCAAACTCTGCGATTCTCCAAAAAAAGAGAGGCTGCAATTAAGGAACAAAAAGAAGAAACTTGAAATAATAATAAATTGTTCCATCCAAGATAGCAATCTAAGTACAATGGAGGATCCTCTTTATGCATAAATTTGAAACTTTTCACTCTGCTCGTTACCCTCAAGAATCTGTTTCACTCCACGACTGATGATTCAACACAATAATTTCATATCATTTCCATTTCATTCTTCTCCCATCCATTCCATCTCATTTTCCTTCATTCTTTAACAGATGAAAAGTTTTTTTTTTTTGCTACTTCTTTTCCTTCATCATTTCAATTGTGAAGATGCTTATGTCTTGAGACACAAAAAAAAGAAGAAGAAGAATGAGAAAGAAAAAAAAAACTTTTTATTCCGTGTACATCATTTCCAGATAATTAAGGGCAACCGGAAAGATGTCAGATTTGTTTCGTAAGACGACATCACAAATTTGAAACAATTTTTCTAAAAACGGAACTGCTTGCTGTGCAATGTCATTCTCTTGTAACTTTTGATTTCTTGCCGTGAGGAGATTGTAAGCAGGAGACTGAAAGTAACGACTTTAATTGCGAGAAAGCATAATCATGTCACATGTGAAATTGTACTTTATGACTTTCGAAGAATAGGAAATCATCGAGATGAATTGTAGAAATTGTCACAATATTGGCTTCCAACAATATCATCGTTATGTCAATAAAGGAATCATCTGTCATCACGATATGCTTCAAGAATTTAAATTGATTTCCGATACATGCTGAAGATGAATCTTTTCAGCCCACAAGACATGTGAAAAAAAAAATATGAGAATACAGTCGATAGTCATGATTGAGTATCATGATATGCTGTGATGAAAAAGAATAAAACACTTCACAACAAAATTTCCACATGAATGAACAGAAAACAATCTAATTTTTGAAATTGAGATGGAAGAAAAATGTACAGCCTGATAAAAAAGAAGTTTTATTGTGCGTATACAGCAACAGAAATACAAAATCGGCAGCATTGGTATTATTTATTTATTTGCGATAGGTTAAAGCGCATTTTTAATTTTAAAGAATATCAAGGAAGTCTGACGAAACCTAATAGAGCAGTGGTGTCCAACCTTTTTTGTACCAAGGCCCACCTTGGTGGTAAGCCAGGACCGAAAACGCACAGTTTGTGGAATTGTTTGAATTCATTCACAACAGTGTGCCATGGCACATGGGTTGGACATCACTGAAATAGAGCATTAATATCCATTATCGTTAAGAAAATATACTGATTTACTGTTCCTAGACCTTGGTAATTTACCCAAAGTACAGATGATGACAAATTGAATCGCAGTACCTCCAGCTGAAAAGCTGGGCCCTTCACTTATTATTATTTCACATTATGTCTTAGTAAAAAGTAGAAGAAGGATCAACTTATGACAAATTTAAAGACGTTTTAAAGAAAATTTCATTAGATGACCCAACGTTGGGCTATGGTAAGGTTTGCAAAAATCAATGCTAGCCTGGGACGGTTTGCAAGGAATCAAAAATTAATGAACTACATACCAGAGGCGTAGCCAGGGGGGCCATAGGGGGCCCAGGCCCCCCCTACGAAAATCTGATAATTGTTTTATTAAGTATTTATAGAGAAGAACCAGTTAATGTAGAGGAAGTGATGAAAAAAATGTCAAAATCAGCACGAAAAATTAAATTTAATGTATGAATAATGAATTAAATATTTAAACTTATGAAGAATGAATATAGATTTAAGGAAACAAAATAACGGTTTTTTAATTTTCGAAAATGGGCCCCCCCTTAAAAATTTTCTGGCTATGCCCCTGCTACATACTTATCACAAATGAAAGTTTGACTCTAACAATGGCAAACAGCAACCAGAACCTCAAATAGCCCTTATAGGTTACCTTAAGTAGTCAGCTTAATGTTTTACTGAATAATTCCACTAATACTATGCATCACATCCCTTCTAATCCCTGAATCTAACTCTAAGATTAATGCAACACACAAAAATACAAATAGACAAACTGCATACAACTCCTTAATATCCCAACAAAGCGAGTGCGAATAAAAATTCAATTCCATAAAAGATTCTTATTTAATGGAATGCGGAAAGTGATTTTCAATCATCATATTGGATATGTAATATAGTGAATGATAACAAATGTCACTGGCATGCTGTCAGATATGATAAAATTAAAAGGAACGAAAGGAATGTTGAGACACTTCAAGGTGACATGAAAGGAAAATTGAAAGAATTCCAATAGTTGTAAATGGGGAGTGTTGACGGGATGGAATTTTAAATTAAGTTCCAGTCAATAATAATAATGAGATTTTTCCTCATGTAGAACTAATCTGCTCAGTTATTTGCCTTGCCTTGCTCAACAATCCGTAGTAAATGTGTAAAGTTATGGTGATAGAATATATTGGCATAGCAAATTAACACCCAGCATGCTCGAAATATTTTTGACGATTGTGGTTCATAGGACCGACAAAAAATTTGGCCAAATTTGGCCAAAATTTTTGACCAAATTTTCACCCAAATTTACCCAAATTGCACCCAAATTTACCCAAATTGCACCCAAATTTCACCCAAATTTTGCCGCATTTTTATTAGAAATTATTTGAATAATATTTTTTGAAAATGTTCTCCCAAATTTTTGGCCAAATTTGGGTGCAATTTGGGTAAATTTTGAACCAAATTTTCATCCGAATTTGGTCAAATTTTTACCCAAATTTTCATCCAAAATTTGGTCAAAATTTTAACCAAATATCGACCAAATTTTTGTTCAAATTTTGCTTTTTTTTGAAAAAATTGAGACAGTTTTTTAGATTCTTGTCGACTTTAACGTATTTATAATCCTTAGTAAAATAAAGATCTAATATAATATAAATTAAGTTCACAAATTAAATGCAGTTTCTAGTCTTATTCGTTTGGATTCAAATTTAGTCTGGAAAAGCAGACTGGATCCAAGGAACTTCTAAGTGCACCTTACAAAGATTCAGGAAGAAACAAATTTCGTTCTTTGTCGTTAAGTGAAACGACAATTTTCATAAAATTTAAATTCATAGTATTATTGCAAATTGTTGTGTTTCACAAATTTTAATCGGATCAACGCTTTTCAGTTCTTTAAAACTGATTTAATGATTTATTGATGCTTATTTCTCCAAAATTATTTATATCTTAAAGAAATTACTTAATATAATTCAAAAATCTTCAAAATATTTTACTGCTTGTTGAAACGCATAAGTTTCACTCCAATGATTTAATTAAAGGAAGTTTGAAGAGTCTGATGGTGGCCCATGGATCCATTTTACTCAAATGTTTTAAACTACTTATTTATCTTTTCAAATATTTTTAAAAATATTTTGAAAAATTATACTTTAAATTTATTTTGTTGAAAATTAAACATCGTGAATATTTTCTGTTTTAAAATCTTTACGAGATTTGTAAAACTTCTTAAAAGTTTAAAAAAAATTTCAGATTCAGATACATTTTGTTTTCAGTTTCAAAAAATAATTATAATAAATTTCCAAAAACAAAAAACCTGAATGCAAAATTATTTCGCTATGTAAAAGTTTAAGTGACAAAAAAAGATTAAGACGTCAAATACAAAAACAACTTATATCTTTTGAGATTAAAAATTTAATAAAAATTATTTATAGACCCAGCTTTCTCTCAACCAAAATGTAAAACCAAGTATATCGGGTAGAAACCCAATGCGGATATATTCACACCGTGTCATCAAAAGTCTTATGGATTGACCAAGATTTGCTTAGCATAAGTTTGAAGGTATAAAGCTAGCGAGTCAGCTGAGCTGTGCTCAGCATATGTTTGGAGGTTTAAAGCTTAACGAGTATTTTTAAAGTTTTTTAAAAACATTTTTCATCCAAAGTTTAATTTTATAAAAATCACAGTGAACTTTTTTTTTAAAAAATTCGTTAGAAAGGAAAGTTTTTTGCTTTTTCTGAAGCAACGGCTGTTCCTACCTTGCCCAAAAACAATACTACTCTTCTATAGAGCAGCACGGATCAAATGCAAAAAACTAGTAGTCTCAACGATGTCTCGTTATTGAGATTTCTTGCTGATTAACTTGCTTGCTTGTTTGCTTACAGAAAGCGTATTTTACGATTTTCTCAGCAATGCCTCAACCAATTTGAAATCTGTTTTTCCAGAAGATGTAAAATTTCACTTGAAAATCAAAACTTAAAACGTTTCATATGAGATTCGGAAAAAATACTTAATTTGCAATCTTATTCCCTATAAAGAGGGTGACAAGATATTTTTTGAAAAATGGTCAAACCTAAAACTTTGCATCTTTATTGAATTAAATATCTCTTAAAAGAAAGAAAAATCATCAATAATATTAAATTGAAAAATTCAGATTTCAATTGGATTTTTAAGACTTAATAAGCAGTTTTCT